TATTTATTATTATTGTATTTAATCCAGATGAAGATACTTTTTATGGCATTCTAACCGTACTTTTTATCACATCTAGTTATTCCTGATGATCTCTGTTTACTTTTAATTGCTTTGTGGTGAAACTGCATTCCAAATAAACTTTGTTAACTTCCAAGTATCTATTTCAGACCTTTAACTATTTGCGTTCTTCGATAGAAACATTCTGTCTTCTTTATTATTATCTATTAACGACTTATTTTTCCAGTTTACTTCGCCCGATCTCTAATTCAGATAAACTTTTAGAATGCTTGTCTAATTGTCTTTCTGTTTATCTTTGTTTTTATAAAAAAGCGACAGAGGGGTTAGGATTCATATTCTTTAATAACAACAAAACAAAAAGTAAACATTAGAATAGCCAAAAACAAAAGAGTAGGCAACGCCATCTATTGGTTCAAAACATAAATTTTCTACATCCAGCCCACTCCAATGTATTGGTTTAACGATGCATTCTATTACAAATAACCATACAAATGTTATACACTTACAAAAAAACAACAAGATTTAATGAATATTTCAAACAAAGAATAAACAGAGCAATCAATCACTTTCTAATAAGTAAAGTCTCTCAATGGGTCTATTTACAACACTGTTTTTTAATTGGATTTGGCATGACCTTATTCTACCATCTCTGCCAGGAAAAATATCTTTTATTCGACCTAACTTCCACATTAATCTTTTAACATTATCTTCGCGTACAAGTACAACATCACCAATTTTAAAACTTACAATATTTTTGGGCATTTTATGCATCATGGCAGATCTTAATTCTAGCAAATATTCCTTTTGCCAGCGTTTCCAAAAATGTTCTATCATCATAAGCCTATGTTTCCATCTTTTTGTTAATTCTGCTTTTGAAGACTCTAATTTAGAACTGAAGGATGGTAAAACGGTTAATTGATTACCTATCAAAAAATGCGAAGGACTTAAAGGATCCGGTTCATTAATATCGTTATACATATAAGTTATTGGTCGAGAGTTAATAACAGCTTCAATCTCTGTAAGTACAGTAAGTAATTGTTCAAAAGTTAATAAAGATTTATGTAATATTCGTTTTAATGCAATTTTAACCGATCTTACCAAACGCTCCCAAAAACCACCCCACCATGGAGCACCTTCGACAATAAACTTCCACTCNGTCAAAAACCACTTTTTGACGTCAAAAACCCAACCCTGTTGAAAACTGACTATCATCAGTAGTCGGCCATTCATTACTCATTCGGCCATTCATTCCATGGAGGCCCATGCCACCATACACCATACATCGTCCTGCACAAGGGCACTAGCGTCGATTCCTTCTCTCGTCAACTAATCAGCAGGATTATCAGAACCAGCACAGTGTTTCCATTGATTGGGATCGCTTCTTTGTTGAATTTTGGTGACTCGGTTTAAGACAAAACATTTCCATTTCCGGGGAGATCCACATATTCAATGCAAAGTGATAGTTGAATCAGTCCACATAAAGATTCTTGATTCAGGAAATTGGTCACGGATTGATACAATCATTCTGGTTCTGATAACAGCAGCCATCAATTCTAGTTTAGAAAGAGACAATTGTTTTAATGGAGAAACGCAACTTTTAGCTATCACTGACTGGGATGATCTAGATGTTGAGCTGGCAGATATCAAATAAATTGTAGCTCCATAAGCACTTTTGCTTGCATCACAAAAGCAGTGCTTGCATCACGAGATGGATCCAAAACTCTATTTTGCCACCTAGTAACCACAATTTGTTCTAAAAAATGAAGTTGCTTGTGCCATTCTTGCCAATTTTTATTGATTTCAAGAGGTAGAATATCGTCCCAATCGATTTTCAAAAAAAAAAAAAATTTGGAACATGATTTTGACTTGGATCATGAATGAGGACAGCCATTTGAAAGGATCGAAAATTCTTGAAGTAGCTTGCAATAAAGTTCGTATTCTACGAGGATTAGAAATTATAAAGTTAAAAATGTCTCCAGTTTTAAAATTAAAACAGTCATTCGACAAGTCTCACTACAATCCAAGAACTTTTACTTCTTCAAGAACTTCTTCGCTTCCATCAGCTTGAACTTCTGAGCCATATATTTTGTTGTTCAAAATTCTTGAGTTGGATTTCCACTTCACGAGGTTCATGGAGGCCTGCTTAAATATTAGGGTTGCTTCTTCCTGTACTTGCGATGCTTCCTCTACAGAATTCGTTGAATACACAAGATCATCAACATACATACAAGAATTTAACAGCTTAGTTGTCATGGGATAGATGTTTTGAAATTTCTTCAAGTGATGACGCATAGTTGCTGCTAGTAAAAAGGGGCTTGATGTTGCTCCAAACATCACACGAGTCATTCTGTAAATTTCAAATTTTGTATTGGGAAACTTAGCGTCTTCTGAAATCCATAAAAATCTTAAGGCATCACGATCTTCTGGTGCAATTGAAATTTGTAAAAAAGCCTTTTGAATGTCGGCAATTGCAGCAATTTCACCTTTACGAAAATTCAATAAAACTATCAGTAAATCAGGAACTAAGTTAGGTCCTGGCAATAAACAATCATTCAAAGAATGATGACCTTTTTCTCTAGTTGAAGCATCATAGACTACACACAGTTTTGTTGTGGAATGATCTTCTCTAATTACAGCCCGATGAGGAACATAATAAGTTTTCTTTGAGTTAAAGGTATTATTTTCTGATTTTTCTATTATTTCTTCCTTCAGTTGTTAATTTATTAAGTTTTTATACAGTTCGAAAAAATAAGGATTGGACGTAAATCTCTTGATCAATTTTTCATTCGAGGATTATGAAAATTATGTAAATCAACTATATCATTCTTCTATGGAAGGTTTACTTCATAACGGCCATCTCTTTTGCGAATAGATTGTTCAAATAAAGAAAGTGCTTTTATATCTTCTTTTTCATCTAAGACCAGTGCTATTCCTAACGATTCTATTTCCCAGAAAGATTTAATATTATTAGATAGCTCTTCATCTAAACATAAATTTGAACTAACAGTCATTGATCGTAAATCAAAACTCATAACGGAACTTTGAATACACCATCCTAATCTAGTCTCTACAGCATCTAATGCTTCATTAATTCGTTCGATTTTCCCAGTAACAATTTTCCAGTAAACATCATTTCCTAATAGCACTGAAATTTCATTTGCTTTATACAGTTGGTGATCTGTTGGCACATCATCTGAAAGTTTAATTCCCAAAGAATGCAAAGTTTTAGTTAAGTCATTGCCAGACATTTTAATTTCAGCAGCAGTAATCACTGGATACTCATTAGCTTCAATAATAACAAACTTATCAGGATCAATTAGATCAACAAGTTTCAATTTCACTTTCCTTCTACGACTAATTACATTCTTACTAGATCCAAATGTATGAATACAGGGATGAGATTTTTCCACTTTTTAGCGGATTTCCGCCTTTTTCACTTTTATCTCTTGAATTTCAGCTTTTTATCAAAAATTCAGATTTTCTAAAAATTTCACATTTTTTAATAAATATTCCGCTTTTTCAGAAAATTCACCGATTTTCAAAGAGAAACAGAAAATTTTAACTACATAGTTACCAATCCTTCCTCGTTTTTACTTATTTTAGCTATTTTCTCCCCTTTTACATGCAGCAAATGAGATTTTCCGCATTTTTACCCGCCCGCCAGATAGCTCCGATTTTCGTACTTCAAACGACGGTGCTTCTGACAAGCCTTTTAGAGGTCCCAAGCCTGGAATCTGCTAATATCCCGATTCTTATTCACATGATTTTAATATTTATTTATTATTTTCCTAACGGCAGGCACTGAACTTTAAAGTTTTTCACCGAGGAAGATGGCAGAAATGTTACTCATTTAACGTTATCC